AAATCATAACCATCAGCTCCAGCTCACACACCTATAGCAAATTCCCCTTTTAGTGCCTTTAGCAGATTCAAAACATCAACCCTAACTTATATACCTTTACAAGGTCAACAGTTTAAAAGTACAAAAAAAAAATTTTTTTGTGGAATAACTCCAAAACATACACTGTTGACGTGTAAACGTGAAACTGCTGCACGTAATTTCGAGATGAATTTATGCAGCTGCGGTCGATCTCTCAGAATACGTTCCGAATCGGGGTCGCTCGTAGCTACTTGCAGAAAATTCACTGCCTAGAAATGTGTGATGATTGAAAAAATTGAAATTTAAACTTGAAAAATTGATGTTTTCGACTTTTCAAGGTATAGTTAACATAAATTACAGCCTATATTCCTCTTTTTCATGCTTCCCTTCCACCAGGCCGCCTTTACCCTAGCTCCAGATTACCTCTATTTTCTTGATCTAAAGGAGAAGCACTAGCGGTGTACAGCCCCCCCTTCCCCCCCAAAAAAAATAACATTTTTTTCACTAAAATTTTTAATCGCTTTTTATCTAAACAAATAATATAGTAGCGAAAAAAAAAAACTAATTCCACACGGTATTTGCAAAGTTTGAAAAGCTTTTCCTCCCAACTGATGGAGGAAAAGAGCAAATTTTGTGTTTTTCAAGGAAATCAAGCAAAAAAAATGTGACCAGAATGGCCATGCAAATGTTAGAACGCAAATATACCTAGCATTTCTCATCGAACGAACAAAAAAAATGCAAAAAACCGGAAACCAAAACCACTAAGGGAGCATCAAGCGATGTAGTTATGGCGGCTGTAACCGCGGGAAAATTTCCCGCAAAATCGATGGTACCACAAATTACTGCAGTGAGATGAAGCGTACCTCTTCGGATGGCATTTCCACGGAAACAATTTTAGGTGATGGTCGTTTAAGTGCTGTTTTCAGAAGAAATGTATCCGAATAGTCTCGTCGCAAGCACAGCATCTTCGAATCTGCTATAGCCAGTGTGCCAATGTGCTTGTTGTAAACCATCTGAAATTTAGACGTGCTACATCTTCAAATTCAATTTTAAACACAAAAAATAGCCTCGAAAAAATGATCGTTCTAACCAGATTGCAGCAATCAGGTTGACCCTGGGAAACCTAACCGATGGAGATGCGACAGATAACAAAATGGGATAAGTGGATAAGAGCGAGATAAGACGTTTCGGTCCATTAACTCATATACGCCTTAACTCAGCACCGCAACAGGACTTCGTCAGTTTGACAGTCGCAGTGCTTAAATATTAAATACTTTACATGGCTTGGTATAATACAAAGCAATACGCAGCGCACGTAAAATAATGCGATGACCAACTTTATTGCTCTCATCGCTTATCTGATTTTAATCAACCAAAATTTGCAATGACGTATGGATGTGAAACGTGATCAATGACGAAAGCTGAACAGCGAGCACTGGCTATGACAGAGAGAGAACTGTGGAACGGAACAGCTGGCGCACCAAACTACACACCAAACAGACGGTGAGTACGAACTGGAGGTTAGCAGTCAGGGGCTTGGAGAAGTGATTTTTTTTTGCCATGCAAAGGATATCCCAGTAAAATTACAATATGGGATTGCCTTGGTAAAATATACGAAATCGCCCATTTTCACCAATATTGTGAACAATTGGAATCCCTCAAGTACGGGGTATCTTCGAGA